TCAAAATGAAGTTATTTTATGCTTGATTTACAGTTCGGACTGTCACCTTTCCAACGATATATAATATGTATATATTTCTTTCACGAGCGCCACTCTCAAACGATTCGAACGGCATCCAGCGGAATCGGGCACGAACTTATGCACTCATCCAATGTTTTAAAATTTTCATCAAAGAAAAAAGAAATTTTTGTTTGAAAAAGCAAAACAGTTTCATTCTGATCTAAGCTTTTGCAAGCCGTACAACCTGTAAGACGGTTCGTTTTGGAAAACAAACATTTTTTCTTTGTTTGTTTTCTATTTTTACCCAATATTTGTTTCATTTTTTGTTATTACAACGTTTCAGCTTTTATTGTGTTTAAATTTTATTTCTTATATTAAAAAATAATTAAAATTTATATAGTTTCGTTATGAATAAAATTTAATAGCTAAAAAAATAAAAAAAAATAGAAATTAAGATATTTAATTCTTTAAAAATATCTGAAAATAAAAAAATAATAATCATCAAACTAAAAGAGGCTTAAAATGTTGAATTAGTTAAAAGATGTTAAGCAAGCAAATTAGAAAAAAAAAATAAAAATTTATTTTAGCAGTAAAAAGAATTTAATTTACTATTATTTTTTCAAATACTATATTGTATAAAAAAAAGTTGCAAAATTTTGAACAGAAAATCTTTGTCTTGCCGCTATCATATTTGTATGTACGTGTATGTTGTTGGCCGCGTAAGCCTAGTTGCAAGTATTCATTAGGTTAGTGATTAGCCGGGGCTCGAGTTCTAGTTCGAGCGACATATAAAAATTATAGAAAACTATTTTTTCTAATTGCGGTCGAGCCATTCGGGGGTATTTATAATATGAAATGAAGGATTTTCATAAGAAAACAGTATAAACTATGGTCCCCTCAATTTTTCGGAACCACATTAAGATACACGCTACAAATTTCAGAACGAGCTTGGTCCAAACTCGCTTCAACGGTTTGCAAAAGCGCCAAATACATAAATATAACTGCGCATTTGCATTTGTTGTTGTGCGCCCAAAGTGCTTGCTTGTCTGTTTGCGCATTTTGTGTTGAGCATTTGCATATAACTTGTTTATTTATTTTCCCAAAGCAAGCACACAACCGCCGTCGGCAGCTGTTGGGCATTTGTTCATCACATTTCCTGTTGTCCTACGTGTATTTGCATTTATATTTGCTGCCTTTCTTTCTCTTTGCTATTATTGCTATTTCGGTTTTTACAGATATATTTATATATATGTTATGTATATATTTTTTCGATTTTTGCTCCACTACGATTTTTTTCTTTAGACATATACATACATATTCTAGTGGTGATTTCCCTTCGAGCATATTTGCATTTTTCATTTTTGTGTCACCACCTGCCGACTCGCCACCAATGTTTGCATTTGACAATTTTACGTTTTTTTTTTTAAATTCGCTTGTTCTTTTTTTTTGAGTGTGCGTGTATGCGTGTACGTGTGTGTGAGTGAATATTTGCATTTTGCTCTTTACACACTTTTCTACTTCAAAATCTTGTGCAAGTGATTTTCTATGCGCTGTCTTTTATTTTCTCAATTTAGTTTTTTTGCTCATTTTTGGCTTTTACTTGCCCTTTTTGACATTTTTTGGACATTTTGAGTGGGGTCAAGCTTTGTATTTTAGTACTTTGATAAAAATTAATTTTGATTTTCCTTTGATTGTTTAGGATGGCTGTGATTTATTTTAATTTTTTTTTTGAATATTCTTTCAGGAGAAATTTTCTTATCAATTTTGCTGTGATAATCTTTGTATATTTGTGTATTTATATATCGTATGTATATGTATATATGTTATGTACTTGTATATATTTACCTGTCACTAGATTGGCGTGATGAAATTGGCACACAGCGTCGGCCTCAAACCAAGATATTCGATCGCGGAAGAAACGGTAGAAGACATTGAGTCCCTCTTGCGGCATAGTCCAAGTGTTGCTGACATTGACCTGAAAGGAGATAAATGAGATTGGTTTTTTAGTACAGATTTTACAAGTAAAATTCTGTTTAATATTTATAATTTTATAATTAAAAATCAATTTTGGACTACTGACTTTCAATAATTCATATTAATTTCAATTGAAAATATTTCACAAGCTAAAAAAGAAGTTGATAACCTAGTGTATGGTTATCATTTGTTATAATATTAGCTTTGGGCCCAATTTGCATTATGAACACATTTTCTTCCTGGCAGCGGCACTGATCTATTTATAGTTCGATTTGCTTGAAATTTGCAGGTTTAAAATAATCAATGCCATTGGGAGCCCGATAACAAATGTCGTTGAACTACAAAAATGCAAGAACAACTGTATAATACTCCATTTGAACGGTATTAATAATTTGTATAATTTAATCTTGTAAGAATATATAAAAAACCTACACTGGATATACTGATGGGTGTAAAATCAGCAAAACAGATGTGTATATTTATATATATTTTTTTCTTTTAATTTATCAAAAATTATCTTCCGTTCTCAGTAAAAAATACAAAACAGCTTAATGACGTCGCGATTGGCTTAATATATTATTATGTTTTCTATTTCCAAAACTGAAAACCAAGATGAAGAGAGAATTTTATGATAATATCCCAGCCATTCAAGCAGCCGTAACCGAGGTACTGAAGAACATTTCTACTATATAAATGACATAAAAAAATCTATGAATGCGCTGGCTGATCGTTGCAAACATTGTGTAGAGTGAAATGGAACCTATTTTGAATAAATAATAACTTTCAAAGATAATATAATGTGTTTTTTATTTTATATCCGAAAAGTTCGGTTATTTTTGGAACACCCCGTGTATTGTCTATGAATAACATCTGCGTCACAAATCATAATTCGGAAAGAGCTTCACGCATTCAAATAAATTGAGAAAATATCACAGAATAATTTGCATTTCTAAAACATGAAATTTAATAAAAATTTAATTACAATATATTATAAATAATAATTGTCAAATGCGAGGAATTGCTGTATTGCTAGCAGGTGATATACAACAGACTTTACCAGTAGGGTTCAGAGGAACGCGTGTGGACAAAGTCAAAGAGTGCTTGAAGCTAGCTCTTTTTTGGGCTTCAGTAAAGATAATTATCATAATTTCATCAAAAATATGTTAGCCTATTTGTAACAAGATCTTACTGCAAGAGAGTGCTTAGATCTGTAAAGCTAAAATCTACCTAAGCAATATTCACGATTGGCTTTCAGAATGGTTTTACGAGCGTCCTATTTTAGCATCGAAAAATGAGTGAGTTTTATTTACAAATGAAATTCTTTTAAAAATATTCGAAGGCGTCGAATATCAATATAAATCCATCGACTCAGTAATTAACATTTACGACGCTATTCATTATCCCACAGAGTTCATCAGTGCACTAGAGCCTCCCGTTCGCCCAACTTTCATGTTGAAATTAAGACTTGGAGCGTTAATTACGTTACTGCGTAATATAAATCAACTAAAACTGTGCAAGGGTACCAGATTCCAGGTGAAAACATTACCATGAAGTTACTCGAGGCTACTATACTAACACGTTGAGTTCAATGAGAAACTATATTTATTCCTACATTTTCTCTCATAGCATTATATCACCGGTTCGTATCTAAGAGAGTGTAGTTCACTAGTATGACTCGCTATAGCCATAAACAAAATTTAAGGCCAAAATCTTAAGGTGGAAAGAGTAGGCTTGAGATTAAGCTGCTTCTCAAGTGGTTAGTTGTATGCGACCTGCTTCAGAGTAAGCTCATAGAGTGGATTGGTGATTCTAGCAACTAACGAAAAAATCAAAATATAGTATGCAAAAAAATACTGCTATAGGTATAGGACTTTGTTTTCATAATAATAAATCAGATGCTATTTTATTTTGAAGTTCATTTAACCTTTATATATGTATGTTGGTGTAGTAAAAATAATTCCATTATTTTTCCAATAAATGCCATTATTAATCTGTATATCGCGTTGTATAAGTCCGTTCGCAGATATAAAGATGACACTTCGTACTAAAAATGCTCTTCGGACAATTTTGTGATTAGTCAATTGTTTTTGTTTAAGCGTGCGTCAAAGGTAGACGTTGGCAAAGAGAAATAACAGAGATTGCACCAAAAACTTTTGGTTTCACTTGGATAAGGCTGGATAAGAAAAGTAAAAACTTAACCCTGCATCTGCATGTAAAAATGTGGGATTTCTTTTTGGTACGAACATATAATTGGCGATTTGTAACCGCTAAAGCGATTTTTGGACTGTTGTTCTAAGTTATGGGTTTGCGTCTTGAAATAGAGGTTGGTTTTTTAAGAGCTATCGAAAAGTTACAAAAAAAAAGCACATAACACTCAGAAAAATGCACGAAATCTTTATTTAAATCGATAGTACGGTCCTTATAACTTAATTTTTCATTTTGTTGCATTTTGGGCAAAAAAAATCTTATATTATCTCACGGTAGTGCTCACCATTCGCATCATCTTTGAAGAAGTACGGTCCAATGAAAGCCACCAGCCCATAAACCGCACCAAAGTGTGACTTTTTCTGGATGCATTAGTAGCTCTTGCAATGTTTCTGTCTGAGCTTCACTCCAGAATTGACAATTCTATTTATTTTCGCACGCATTAAGTATCAATTTACAATAAAATCATTTCATCGAAAACTGATTAAAATTCTGTATAAACATATACAACGCAGACAAAGGAGTTCCTGGTCATAAAAGCCTTCAGTTAAATGCAACGTTACATTGAAAATCTGCCGGAAATGCCGAATGTGAAACTTCTTAAAATCCTTTGGCATATTTATACGCTACCATGGACAAGCACATGTACTTATTTATATTCCTTTTTGCTTAAATTTTCCTTTACATACATATTTGCAGCTTACATTACGACGACGTTTTCATTTCCTGTTAATCATGTCTGCTGTTATTTTTAATTAAGCCAACAGCAGTACTAAAGGCAATGAAATAATTGACTAAGAGAAAATACAATAAGAACGCAGTTTTTCTTTAAGCAGAAGAAGCACTTCATGAATCTGCAGCAACGAATTTGGCGTGAGGAATGCAGGGCATTCGTATTTCTTTAACTAATTAACATAAGAAGGAAATGAAAAAAAAATGAAAAAAGGCTGGCATAAATTGTAAATAGAAGTTTTGAAATTTTAGTTTTTTTTTCGTAGAAGTAAAGATTGAGCCAGAGCTCTTCAGCAGAAATTAAAAAAAAAATTATTACTTCAAGACGCTTGCTCATTTGATAGAAAAGTTTTTGCATCACTGCTAATGCTGATGGTTTGGGTCAAACAATTTTTGGACCTACGCTGTGCTTACTCTTTTCTTCTCTATTATTTTTGTAATTTTTGTTAACTATATTTTGCATAATTTCGCCTTTTTATTTTCGTATTTTGTATTTTTTTTTCTCTATGCACACAACCCTTTTGCTGCCTTTCCCTTTGTATATGTACTAAAATCACTGTAGCGAATTGCTACACAAGCGAACAACACATTTGGCAAAATAAAAAATTATTTGTATTTTATTATTGTAATTATTTTTTTTGATGCAATCACACAACAAAGAAACGGTTGGTCGTTTGTGTGTTTACTTTTTATATTTGCATAACACTTTATTTTGTTTTCTTTGACATTTCTCTGCAGCTCTACGAATTTTTTTTCTAGCAATTTATTTTTGCGCTTATTACTCTTTTCATTTCTTCTTTCTCTCTATTTGTGCTTAAGTTAAGTAAACTTTTGTCCAAAGTTTCTCTTTGTAATTAAAGGTGAAAGAGGGTTGGAAAAAAAGTGTATATAATTAAAAAGTAAACAATTAAAAATACGTAAAAAACAATAATAAAGTGAAGGGCAATAAAAACGAGAAGCAAGGAGCAAAGAGTAATTTGAAAAAAATTGCATGTGGTTGTTTGCAATTAAGGACAATAATAAAGAAATAATGAAGAGACAAGTATAATGTGTAGATACCAAAGGGTTAAATATTTTGTATAATTGTCAAAAGCAAAACACAAATGACGAAAAGTTAAGGAAGAGTGAGTATGTATGCTGATTAACCGGTTCAAATGATTGGGCTCGTCAAATTAAGTGAAAAGTTTTCATTATTTCCAATTTTCTCTATAAAAATAAGTTTCAGATAAATTTATATAAAATCTTTGATTGAATTAATTGAAATTTTGAAGTCCAAATTTTATTAAAATAACTTATTTAGTTTCATAAAATAGTAACTAAGAGATAGTGTTTGAAAACAAAATGATTATTTATCAAATTTAATATTTTTTTTATTTTGACGCTACAGTGCGTATACGTAACCCATTTAAGTTCATATTAAATTAAAGAAAAATGACAATTTTTGAGATAAATAATCGCTTGCTTGCTTCAATAAGAAGAGTTGAAGAGATGTTAATATTAGATTATTTTCTTTAATTTAGTTTAATTTGTGATAATTTAATTTAATTTAAATTAATTTATTTTGTTTTAGCTTATTCCATTTTTTATAACTTTTGATTTATTACACTTTTTCAGGCCACTTTATCAGAGAATTCGGTAAGAAACCTTTCAGCATCTTTATGCGTGAAACTGAACACTCGACAAAGATTTTTAAATGTAAATATTATCACCATTAAATCATCGAAATCTTTGGATCATACAATAAAGCTCCAATACAAAAGATGCACTCCAATTTAAGAATTTTGTTTAAAAATCCGTCAAAAAGGCGTTGTAAAAATCGTTATTATACATACGTATGTGCATTAACAACGACCTTAAAAAGCTTTCAAATCGGAAAACTTCATAATAAAGACTCTCTTACTAACTTTTTGCTTATGAGAATTAATATTAAATCCCAAAATTAACTATTATATTTTCATTTATTTATAATTTATTCTGGTCATGATTTGTATAAGAACTTCGGTGCGTCCGAGGCCAGCTCTTCTTTTTTTTCTACATATGCAGCTTTTATAGAAAGTAGAAATT